CTGTCATTGAGGGGAAAGGTTTCTATACTTCCCCTACCGCATAGAAGATCTATGCTTTCCCTACCATCCAACCGTCTAATTTTGATCAAGAGAGTCAATCACCGTTTGATCTTAGATCCGACGTATCAAAGTATTTTATTTTAAACTTTTCTTATACAAATTGTATGAATATGAAATTTGGTACGTGCCATCTTCTCATTAGAGCGCACTTATAAAAATATTAAAAATAATTTTTTGATAAAATATAACGATCAAAATACCCTTTGAAGATTTCAGGGGTATTTTTCTCAAATATTTTATTTATTTATTTTTCGCTAGTGCGAGTTTTAATAGTGGATTGGGCATACAAAATTTGGTGTTAAAATAGTTTGTAGAAAAACAATTAAAAACAAAATAGTGTAGAGACGTGATATTGTGATTAGGGCAATCTTAACTCTATATTAAGAATGGACTGTTGGATAAGGGGAAGTATATAAATTGTATGTTATAGGGGAAGCATAAAAACCTTGCCCGTCATTGAATAGACATAAAAATAAAAAAATAAAAACTCTAACCATCTAATTTGACTTTCAATGAGTGGGAATGATTGTGACCTCCATGTACAAAAGACAAATAGTCTCTTTATAGCCAATCCCTTAATACCAAATTAATCTCCAATTGATGAAGTCGTTGCGTCTCTTAGGAGTCAAGCTTGGAACTACCCAAAAGAAACAAGAAAAAAAATGAAAGGGGAAAAAAAATAGAGGACCTTGAAACTTCTTTAGGTGTTTAAATTTTATTTCGTTTTGGTTGTTTTGTTTATAATAAGGGAAGTTCGTGTCATATGGGTCCTTTGCATCTTATTGATGGCCTTTTGCATCCACTAGTTGTTGGCATTGATGATGCCATCTCCATATACACCGGCAGGGTAAATTTTTTTGATGATCGACATTTACCTAGACCTTTCTTGTTAATTTTAAGATTTGATTGCCATTTCAATTATGATCTCACATGCTTCATTTTAGGTGTTAAAAAAAAAAAAAGAGCACCTATTCAATTATGATCTCACATGCTTAATTTTTAACTTCCTCAGGTTATTCTAAAGTTTGGGATCATTTTAGCGCATGACTATTTCCATTAGAAACATATATTGGATATTGAGTTCCTAAACACTTAGATTATATCACCAAATAATAAGATAATCGCTATTCAATATGAGGAGGTTAATTTTTTTTCAAGCGCGTTTATAGGGTTTTTTCTTCAAAGCTGGTCGTGATCCTGCTAAACATATTTGCGATCCCGTTTTCTTAAAATAAAAGGGAGGAAAGGGAGACCCTGCTCATCACTTTTTTTATTTTTCTAACCTCATGATCTCTCTACCCTCTCAATCTCTCTTTGCCCAAGTTTTTTCTGATTTTCTCATACAAGTTATCAAACAAGGTTTTCAACTTTTAACACGACTTCTCTATTTCTATTTTTTTCTCTCGATCCCGATTTCTTAAAAAAAAAGGAGGAAAGGGAGACCCTGGTCATCACTTTTTTTATTTTTCTAACCTCGTGATCTCTCAATCTCTCTTTGTCCAAGTTTTCTCCGATTTTCTCATACAAGTTATCAAACAAGGGTTCTCAACTTTTAACACGACTTCTGTATTTTTAATTTTTTCTCAAATTTCCAATTTTTTTTAGATATTCTCGAGAAAAAACAACATACACAATTACAAATAGGGCTTTAAAGAGAATTATAAGGCTATTCCGTACCAAAACAGATACCATGGTGACATTAGCACGGCATCACTTATGCCATAAATATATCATTCCATGCAAGGAATACAAAAACGTTAAAGATATAAAATACTATTCCCCCATTGAAAACGGACTTAAAAGGAAGTATCCTTTTAACAAAGTTAGCAGACTCTCCAACTCTTACCAAACTTTTTTTCTTGTTATCGGAGTGGCTTCGACCCACGTGATTAAGTTAAGTAGAACACGATGTTAACTTTCTCAAAAGCGACCAAATAATCTCAAGTTGAATACAACTTTTTCAAAAGTAACTACATATGTCTTTTCTCAAAAGCGACTAAATAATCTCAAGTTGAATACAACTTTTTCAAAAGTAACTACATATGTCTTTTCTCAAAAGCAACTAAATAATCTCAAGTTGAATACAACTTCTTCAAAAGTAACTACATGTCTTTTTGGGTTAATGATTTAGGGAAAGGTTTTTATGCTTCCTCTATCTTTCCTTTATCCAACAGTCCATTGAGGATTAAAATTGCTCCAATCACAATATCACGTCTGTACAATTTTTTTTTCTTCTAGAAGATGTCCGTTCCTCTATTAAAGTCGCACTAGCAAAAAAATATAAAAAAAATATATTTTCAATAAAATAAAATAACTAAAATACTTTTGAAAGTTTTAAAGGGTATTTTGATCATTATATTTCATTGAAAAATTATTTTTAATATTTTTTATAGGTGCATCCTAATGAGAAGATGAGACGTACCAAATTTTATATTCATTCAATTTGTATAAAAAAAAGTAAAAATAAAATATTTTGAGACGTCGGATTTAAGATCAAACGGTGAGTGACTCTCTTGATCAAAATTGGACGGCTGGATGGTAGGGGGAGGATAGAACTTATATCCTATAGGGAGAGTATAGAAAGATTTTCCAATAATTTAATTAGCTACAGTACACCATACTTTTCACTATCATAGGAATGGTTAGTTGCTTCGTGGATAATTACCTCCTCTCAATTATGTTTTTGAGAAATTTAAGTAGGGACTATGTTAGAAGACATCAATTACAAAATGGGAACACGTTTGTCCCAAATTACAGGCGGCAACTCTCTTCGGGCATTTTTTTTTTTTTGCAAGTTATCTTTCGGTAAACTGAATACCGGACATGTGGATTTTTTTAGTTTGAACATGTGGGTTTTTTTAGTCCGAACGAAAAACAGTTGTCCGGTTTTAGAAATACCGAACAACAGTCTCCATCTTCTACAATTCAACAATATTCTTTTTCTATCTCTAAACTCAGGAGACCTATCACCCGCTTCTCTAATTGAAATGAGCTCCCTTGAGAACCATTGGAATTCAGATAACCCAACCCAGTTCCACTAGAATTGGTAAAACTTGCAGAGTCAATCAGAATCTTAATAGAAAACAGCAAATTACCCTTTGAAGTTGAATGAACAATGCGTTTTTCAGTCGATTCAGATAAATTCCCAATCTGGGTTCCACTAAAATTAGCGAGACGTGATGAAATGATCACATTTTGTGGTGATTAAGGCAAATAACTGTTTGAATTTGAATTCCCGAACCGGGTTTCACTAAAATATGCAGGGTTTTCATGCAAACAAGGAAAAGAGCTCAAACCACCAAGTTGGGTTTCACTAGAATTGGCAGAGCCACAGAATAAAAAATATTCTTTGGCGAGAAGGGCAGGGAATTTGAAAACACAAATCGGGTTTCACTAAAACTCGTGGGATTTGTAGGACCAAAATGGTTACTCGGTGAAAATGGAACATAGGAGCTAGAATTTGAATACCCAAATTGGGTTTCTCTAGAACCAGCAGGGCAACCAAATTGGGCTTCTCCAAAAAGATCAGGAGTTCAGAAATCAAAGCGAGGTTTGCTCAAAAAAGACGATGAATCTGCCAAATTTAGGGCGCTTGCCTGTGGGTTCATAAAGGGCAACTGAAATCTTGAGGTAGCAACAAAAGACAACCATTCTAACCTCGTACAAGTTTTCAGAGAGAGAAAGAGAAGGTAGAGATAGGTTTCGTGAGTTTAGAGATAGAGATCCGTTGAGATTTCATTTTGTTCGGTATTACAGATAGTTGTTCGGTATTTTAAACACCGGACATCCGTTTTATTTTGTACAATATAAACCTCACATGTCCGGTGCTCGCATTAATAGATATAAGATAACTTGGGAAAAAAAAACTCCACAAAGAGAGGGGTGCTGCTCATAAGTTGAGACAAACATGATCCCATTTTATAATTAACCCCCCAAATATGGTCCATACATAAATTTTCTCTATGTTTTTTTTTTTCTTATCACCCAACTTGTGTACCATATAAATATGATTTCAATTGAATTTTACATAAAATTTTGTTATTATACTTTTTCAGTAAGGGATTGTCCACAAATAGATAATTCATCTTTTGTACATACATATCACAATCATTCCTACTCGTTAAATGTCAAATTAGATGGTTTGGGGTCACTTAGGGGTGGCAATGGACCCAACTAGACCCGAGACCCAATAGGTAAACCCGATGTCAAGTTTGGGTATGGGTCCAAATTTTGGACCCAAAAGGTAAGATCCGAGTCCAAAACCTGAACCTAAATACTATTATCGGGGCCAAGTCCAACTGGACCTAACCCAAATAATATGGGTAAATGTGGGTATTCATAAATGTTGCCGATATGTTTGTTTTTTAGGAATTTCTAGTTATGAAGAAAAATATTAAAGAATGTGGGTATTTATAGGCATCCAAAAATGTTGTGCAATATTGTAAAAATTGGCAATAATATGGGTATATAATGGTAAAAATAGCAAAAAAAAAAACCTCACAGTCATCGTCCACATGTCTCACATAAACAGATTAGGGGTGGTAGTGAACCCAACCAAACCCGGTACCCAACGGGTAGATCTGACATCAGGTCCGAATATGGTTCCAAATTTTGCGCCTAAAAGGCGGGATCCAGGTTCAAAACTTGAAGCGAGATATTTTTTTTAAAAAGCTTTTTCTATTCAATGATACTATTACATTTACAACCACCCATTTTCGTATTCTAAAACGTGGTCGTATGAGGTATTTTTGTATTAGAGAGCAAATTGTAATCGTCCCCGTTGTTTGACCGTTAAAGTTCATTTATAAATGAAAAGGATACCATGATAGCAACCGGGCATCAAAACAGTGTGCTAACAGCTCCTCAGCCAAACAAATGCAACAGTAATAATTTTCCACCGTTCGTCCTCGAGTAACTGCTCTAGTAGTATACAAACATCATACAAATAATTGTACATTTATTGAAACGAAGAATGTTTTTTTTATAATAAATCTCAACAATTATATATCAAAAATGTTTTCTTTGTAATAAATCTCAACAAATTACATATAAAAAAATATACATTTGAACAAATGTTTCCTAAACAAATGTATAAATACCTTCATCCGACCGGTCATCTGCCATCTACTATGACATCCGAATCCGATATCGACATGGACGACGATAAGGACAATTGCAGGTCCCCCAAGGTCGGGTGGTCCCCACTAGGGCCCGGTCTCCGGGACCACACTGGGTCGGTGGAACCTAGCTTAGGTTCAGGCCTCAAAACAATTGATTCACCTTCGAGGTCTTCGGATCTGGGATCCTCGAGAGTCCGAACCACTTGTCTCATGGTCGGTCGAGTGCTAGGATCAGGACATGTACAGAGCAAACCCAGTCTCAGTAATCTGTCGACCACTTCCTCATCCACTTCGATCGAGCCATTAAGCCTAGGGTCCAGTGCACCGCTCAGGTCGCCCTGCTCAAGCTTACTCCAAACCCACTCGACCAGCGGCTCAAGCCCATCCTCCAAAGGCCTCCTCCCACAAACCACCTCTAGTATTAGGACTCCGAAGCCAAAAACATCTGTTTTCACCGATGCTTTCCCACTTTTGACGACCTCCGGCGCCATGTATCCGGCAGTCCCAACCACACGTGTGGTGTGTGCTAGTTGCCCATGCTCATACATCCTTACCAGTCCAAAGTCACCTAGCTTTGCACACATATCTTTGTCCAGCATAACATTGCTGGCCTTAATGTCTCTATGTAAAACCCTGGCTTCCCAACCTTCATGAAGATACAAGACCCCATTTGCCACATCTTTCAAAACCCTAACCCTAGTGTCCCATCCCATAACTTCACCTCCCATGCCCTCAAAAATCCTACTGTCTAAGCTCCCATTCTCCATGTAGTCATATATCAACATGAATTCTTTTGGGCTTTTGCACCAACCCCTTAACCCAACTAAGTTCCTATGCTTTAGCCTCCCTATGCTTGAGACCTCAGTTGCAAATTCTCTAACCCCTTCCTGTGATTCATGGCTTACACACTTGATTGCCACCTCAGCCCTAGAACCTGCTAGGACACCCTTAAAAACCCTAGAATTCCCACCATTACCCACCAATTGGGTCTCACTGAAATTTTTTGTGGCACTCAGTATATCCTGATAGGGCACCCTATGGGGCCAATACTCAATCTCCCAGTCCTCAATACCCTCTTCTTCTCCCCCTTTCTTTCTCCTCTTTCTAAACCACAACAACCCCATTATCAATACCACCCCAAAGAGCACCAATCCCCCAACTGAGAGCCCCACTATGAAGGCCTTAGACCTAATCCCCCCATTCTCTCCCTTCAACCTATAATCAGGCAAACCAGTAGTGACCAACCCTTCACTTAGAGAGAAGTTTCTCTCACTAAAACTCCACCCCAATATCCTATGACCCTCCACCCTCTGCCCTGTTGCAGCAGAGAACCCAACATAAGCCTCCTCCTTAAAAACACTTGTTAAATTCAACTCAAGGGAGATCGAAGGCCTATCAGGTTTTCTCTGTCCTGCCAAAGCCATGGAAACATTCAATCTAGGCATTAAATTGTTACCCCCAACAAAGTAATAATCAACCCAGGCTTGGAAATTCTCACCACTATTCAAATTCATGCCTTGAAATCTCCCTGAATCCCATCTACCAGCAGGGTAGGAAGCCACTGAACTGAGACTATTAACATCAACACCGACATGGTTATCATCAATATCCGCAAACTCTGCATTTTCGAACGTGTCGAATTCGACGGCGAAGATGTGATTTTGAGGGGAGCCATTAGAGGTTCTATTGAAGAGGCCCAAGTGTTGCGCTGGCGAAGTGGGTAACAAAGCAGTGGTTGGAGCAAAAAAGAGAGCAAAGCCATGGCCTGGTAAGAGATCTTTATATGGGGCAATGGAGAAGATGAAAGAAGTGGAGAAAGGAGAGACAAAGGGGCGAGAGGTTAGAGGGAGAGGGTAAAAGGCGTGACCTATGGAGAAGGTGGTATCGTTCGTCAGGACAAGGCGGCCCGAAACGAGCTGAGAATCGCCTGATAACAAGAGGTTCAAGGAGTTGAAGCCATCGAAGAGGAATTCAAGGGGGGAGATTGGTTGCATGAAAAGGGATGAAAGGAGGAGGAGGAGGAAAGGGAGTTTAAGAAAGAGGTCCATTTGGGGGGAGGTCTAGAGGTGGGTGGGTAGGGTGGAGAGGCTGGAGGGCGGATCAGGGGAGTAGAGAGAGGTTTCGAGGCTCCCTCATGGGAGGAGATCTAGAGAGAGAGTGGAGATAAGAGATCAGCAGAGAGAAAATGGTGGTGGGAGAGGTGAGGAAGAGAGGGGCCTCTGCATTTACAGAGAGAGTGAAGGAGGTCTGGATGTAGAGAGATAGAGATGGATAGGTGTTTGAGAGGAGAAAATGACATAAATACCCCAACCTGATTTTATGTGAGAGAAACGTTCTCCGCCGTCGTTGTGATTGGAAATTTAAACAATCGCGGTTACTTCATCTTTTGTAGTATTTGTGGGTATTCTGTCATTGTGGCCATGCTTATTCAATGGCGGCCAGGGCCGTACGTTGAATATCTATTTGTCCAAGTAAAAGGACTAAACCACCCTAACCATATCACTCATATTACAATATAGCCTCATATTTTCAAATAGTTCAATCCACCAGTTTACAGGGAGAAGTATATGAAAAATGAAAATGAAGAGTATTGATCTTATAGC